GCAGTGGCACAGCAGGTCACAGCCAGGCAGCACCCCCCACTGCCAGACTGCTGCAGTGGGTAGAGGGTGCAGGGAACTCTCAGGGCTGCTACAGCAGTTCAGCTGGCACAAGGGGTAGTGTCCCCAGGTACCAATTGGCTGGGCCCCAGAAGCTCCTGAGAGCTAGTAGCCCTGAGCTACTTGCCAGGGCAGGTTTTTATACTGCTGGGGCCAGGGCAGGGCAGCTTTTTATACTGCTGGGGACACCACAGGTGCTGGAACCTGGCTGAAGATCTGGGAGAAGCCAGGCAGGGTTAGTTTGTCCCAAGTGGCACAATTTGCTCCACAACAAAGTGCGTGTCCAAGCATGTGCGCTGAAACAAAAAAACCCGGCTCAAATTTGTACCGCTTCTATTTGAGCTGCTGCAAGCGTACGTGCTTGCATGTGTGGACACGCCCATTGTTATCTAAACTTTTCATTTTGCTGGTGTTTACAATATCAGCTGGCCTTGTTTTTTGCAAGCAGCTTATGGTCTTGAGTTTGCTCACATGATGTTTCTTTCCTTTTTCTATCACTGTGAGAAGTTTTTCTAGCACAACATAGTCATAATTTGTTACTAGCTCAAATTAACTGAACTTGGCACTAACCAGCTGAATCAGAGGGATGAAATAATTGGATATGTTAATGAGAGGTGATAAAGGAGACCAGCAGAAAAAGACCAAATTAAGAGGTGTGCTCGCGTAATAGGGATGTTGAACAAAGGAATATGCTGACAGGATAAAATATGAACAATATACTGACTGCAGAAAGATCAATCCAAAAGGAAGGAGTCATCAAAGGAGTCAAGTATGAAAAGCATAAAAGGGGAAAGCAAGAAAGTTAAGTCATGGTCATCATCATTTACATCATGAATCCAATTTTCAACACCTGTCTAGATCATCGCAGCCAACGATGCACCCTTTGCTTCAGGAACTGAGTGGCCGTCTTTTCTGTGAGGCAAAGTAGCATCTGGGATCGGGTGAGATCATCGTACTAAGTGGTTTTTTCTCTCTGAATATAGAATCTGCTGAGATAATACTTTAACTAATAAAGTTAGACTTTGATTTTAGGACAGTGAGTTGTCTGTGTTTTATTTTGCGTTCCATTTAAGGGTTAATTGTGCTTTAACGATCCCTAAACGCTATCTGCTGGTCAGTGGTGCGAACAGTTAGCTTGCTTTTCTTTTGTTCTTATGGTTTAGACTAAAAAATGAACATTAAGACATTTTTGGTGAATTTTCCACTCATTTAATATTTCTACTGAATACCATCATGAGAGGGGGAATTTAGGAAAAGTTATAGTAGGGGAGGAGAAAATTAGGCTTATCTATAGGGGACCAGCTATTTCTCTTGCCCCTTTTGCCAAATACATTAGTTATATTTCTTGACTTCCTTTCACAAGCAAGTTCTGTGCAGATTGAATCTAATTTTAGGAGTTAATATTTGATAATCATTTCACTTAAGATTATTCACTTTATTTCCTATGTTTTACTTGGCAAGTTTCTCATCAGTTTCCTAATATGTATGATTTTATTCTAACTGGGTCTGAACAGATCTTGAAAAGTTCAAATTGGCTAGAACATTAGAACTACCTTAAAATTCTCAACACAGACTTATCAGTCAACATTTAACAGAGTGACCATGAAATATGGAAACTGAATAAAAGCTCTGATGGAAGAAACAGACCTTTTTCAGTTCCCTAGATTTATTCTTGCTTCTGAATTGTTGATATGGCAGCCAATAGCTTACACCACCAACACAGGCTTGTCCCACTCTGCTACTTTATATATAAACATGAATGGCATGGTAAATCCAACTGTAGTAGAAGTGAAATGGATTTATGCACTGTTTAGATCAGGCTTGCTTGTCCAACATGTGGCCTAGGACCATCACGCGGCCCACCAAGCCGTTTTCTGAGGCCCGAGGTGCTACGATGGGAAATGAAAGTAAACACGGTTTACTTTCGTTCCCACCCCTTGTCCCTCCCCCAGGCCCTCAGCAGCTTCCTAATTGGGAGGGAAGCGGGGGGTCCTTTGGCCAGCCCACTGGGTAATAAAAAGTTCATGATCCAGCCCCACATTCAAAAAGGTTGGAAATCCCTGGTTTAGATGCAACCTATCTCTTAGTGGGTTCTTTTATGTGCCTGATAGATGGACTAGAATACGGCCTTATATAGATATAAGGCAAAATTGTGGCAGCAGGCATGGCATTGCATAATCTTGGGGGCAAGAAGAGAATATAGCTTTCCTTGAAAAAAAGATCAGATCAGAAGCCATTTGGACAGGGAGAGCACTGTAGAGGGTTGCCAGGGCTTATGAGGAATCATACACCCCTAAAGAATGGAGCAGAAACCAGCTGGCAGTAATTGTTTGGTATCTATTTGCTACTCCCATATACACTAGGGCAAACCTGGTCTCCTATGTGGATAAAGATCATTCACACACAATTAGCAGCCCTCCTAAGGCTGAATAATCCAGTCAAAACTAACCTACAGCAGCACTTTTTGTTCATGTTGAAAATTTGCTGCAATTGCATCTTGTCAAAGAGGTTTTAGTTCTGTATACAAAAACACTTAAACCATTGTCAACTCTGGACTATATGAATCTATTCAACAGGTACAGAATAAGTAACTGCATACAAGACATTAGAAACTGGCCATGGAGCTAATGACTTTGCAGGGAGACAGAAAAGAAAGGTCTTCACAAGTGGTTCCTGAGTTGTGAATCAGTCTCCTGTAGCCACCTAACTCAACAGGTTTCTCTCTGCTTTTTTTATCTATAATTTGTGCTCAGGGTGAACTTAGTCTTTTCCCAAGCTGTGGGCACTTCTCACATATGTTTCCAAGGGTGCAAGCAGCAGTCTTCAGATTTAATTAAAGCTGTGATTACCAGTGGAAGCAGGGTGGGTTGGGGAATGCGTATTCCTAGGAGTCTGCTGATATTGGTGCTGTTCCTTTGACTGACTATTGATAACATAGGAAACTACCATAATGGAAAACACTTTTTACCTGAAAAATGAAAGGATCTGAGGGAATTATTTCAGGCCACAAAATAAACTCACCTGTATGACAATGCATGAAAGAGCTTTCTAGAAATTTCACAGACCTTGGGATAGTTTGAATATTTTACACAAGTGGGAGACAAATTGTAGGTGACATCACTTTGAAAGTTAGGGAGTAAGAGCTGGATCCACAAATGGATTCATGTGTGGCACTGTTCTTCATTACCACACCCACCTTTTAGATGGCTGAGACTAGAGCCAGATTGACACATTAAGCACCTATGTGGGACTGATTAAAATTTTAGAATCATAGAAAATGAGGGTTGGAAGGGACCTCAGGAGGTCATAGAGTCCAACGCCCTGCTCAAAGCAGAACCATCCCCAGCTAGATCATCCCAGCCAAGGCTTTGTTTAGCCAGGTCTTAAAAAACTCCAAGGATGGAGATTCCACCGCCTCTCCAGGTAGCCTGTTCCATGATTTCACCACCCTACTAATGAGAAGGTTTTTCATAATATCCAACTTAAACCTCCCCTGCTGCAACTTGAGACCATTGCTCCTTGTTGTTTCATGTGTCACCACTAAGAACAGTCTAGCTCCATCCTCTTTTGAATCCCCCTTCAGGTAGTTGAAGGCAGCTATCTAATCCCCTCTGTCTTCTATTGCACAAACTAAAAAACCTTCAAACTCTCCTCATCAGTCATGTCCCCCAGTCTCCTCACCATTTTTGTTGCCCTCTGCTGGACTGTCTCCAACTTGTCCACATCCTTTCTATAGTGGGGGGCCCAAAACTGGACACAGTACTCCAGATGTGGCATCACCAGTGCAGAATAGAGTGAAATAATTACGTGTCTCAATCTGCTGCCAATGCTCCTACTAATGCAACCCAATATCCTCTTAGTGTTCTTGGCAACAAGGGCACACTGCTGACTCGTATCCAGCTTATTGTTCACTGTAACCCCCAGGTCCTTTTCTACAGAGCTGCTGCTTAGCCAGTCAGTCCGTAGGCTGTAGTGGTGCATGGGATTTTTCTGTCCTAAAGGCAGGACTGTTCACTTGTCCTTGTTGAACCTCATGATATTTCTTTTGGCCCAATCCTCCAATTTGTCTACGTCACTCTGAATCCTAGCCCTACCCTCCAGTGTATCTACTACTCTCCACCCTGGTGTC